AAAACTTTGTGTAATTCAAAATAAACTACAATCTATAATTCTTGCTGAAATAATTGTGCAAAAAATGCATTAACATTTAAATATAAAAGTGGAAAACTAAGGAGTTGTAAACTTTCCTATATCTCAATGCCTTCGTTAATTACTAAAAAACACAATAGTAACATCAGCAAATGAGGTTTTGTTAGAACAAACTAAAACCTGAAAGAATAGCAATTATTTGACTTAGAAAACATGGTAGAACATTGATTTTCCTTTAAAATTATATAAATTATCATCTATAAGGCAATGTAGCATGAATTTTATCATCTCATGCTACAGCCAGGGCAGAGAAGTCTATTTAATCATGGGGCATTTGTTTACTGAGGTCAAATTAAACCTTATAGAGTGTTTCTTTGAGTCAGTGTAGTTGATCATAATTTGTCACTCAGAACTTAAAAACAGTACTGTGAAAATGATTCACATATGGATTAATCACAAAGATTGATGATCACTACCTAACTGACTAAAAACTCCAGATTAAAAGCCATGGGAACTTTTAATTAAATTAATTTTTGAATTATTTTAATGTATATGACTGTTTTGCTTGTATGTATGTAAGCACACCCATGTATACAATGCCTACTAAGGCTAGAAGAGGGCAATGGATTCCCTAGAATTAGAGTTATGGATGGATTGTTGTTAGCTGCCATGAGGGTGCTAGAAACCAAATCTATGTCCTCTGTAAGAGCAGCCAGTGCTCTTGACTGCTAATCCATCTTTCCGGTCCCAGAACTAGAAATTTTTTTAAGAAAAAAACTTTTTTTCCTTTTCTTTCCCATACCTATTTTAATGCTAAATTGTATTCTCTGTTCTATTTGCTTATAATTATTTTATAATCAAAGTTGGCAGAGATTACAGTGAAATATTTTGGTTTTAATATTTATTTTTATTTTATGTGTATATGTATCTGCATATATGTATGTGTTCACAAAGGCCAGAAGACTGAAATCACAGGTGGTTATAAGCCACCATATGGATGCTGGGAATTGAATCTAGGTCTCTGCAAGAGGAGAGAGTGCTCTTAACCACTGACCCATCTCTCAAGCCCCCAAATAATTAGGTTTCGTAGTGATACAAAATGTCTCTTCTAGGGCTGGAGAGAAGGCTCAGTGGTTAAGGACACTGACTGTTCTTGAAGAGCTCAATTCCCAGCACCCACATGGGAGCTAAGAGCTGCAGATAACTCCAGCTCTGGTAAAATCCGACACCTTCTGACCTCCGCCGACATTGCACGACACAGGCAATACATTCATACACATAAAATAAAAATAATAAATTTTTAAAATGTCCTTTCCATTGTCTAAGTGAATCTATACCATTGCTTATCTTTTATTCTAATATTTTACTTTCGTTTGTTACTCTTTTAAGCAAAACATATATATTTCAATAAATACATCAAAAGTAAAAGCTCACATCATATAATTGTGGGTAATATTTAGAGAAGTTATTTTGAAGGAAGCAATTCATCTTTTTAAAATAAAAATAAAATACTATTGTTGGATTTAGTAATTCAACCAGATCAAAATTTAAATACAATGGGCATTTCTGAAATTTTCCTAAAGTAAAAAGTTTTCTTTTATATAATATCCTCTCAGTCCTGCCATTTAACTGATTTCATCGATATAACCTCATGTTCTAAATTTCTAAATAGGCCAAATAGTGCAACAACAATCACATCATACTAGGAAAGAGTAAACAGTAAATGCACAGCTAATATCCTGCCTTAAGCAAAATGAGGTAAGCTGGAGCATGTTCTGGGGAGACAGCTGATTTATCCCCTGATATGGTAAATGATGGGCTTTATTGATGAAAAACAATGTTTCAGATAGAAAGTAACCATCAGGTGTACATGGGCTATTAACTCCAGACTGTGGAAGCCAGTTCTTTCCTGGGGAATATTCATTAATTCTTTTTAATTAAAAAGCATTCATAGTTGCACAATGTAGGAGTCTTTTCCATACTCTTCAAAAGACTCTTAACAGTCTGAGTCACCCACAGTTTTTAAAAGGACTTTCTATTGAGATGAAGAATTATCTCTCTAATATCTCAAGAAATCAGGGGACAAAAAACATTTAGGGAAAATAGCAAGCCTGTCTTTGGGAAATATGCATATATTGTTGAACATTTCATTCATTTGTTCACTCATTCATCCCAACAGTCTGTTAATACAGATGCATTGTATATTTAAATAGCATCTTAGGAAATGCAAGTGCAGTGGTGACCAAGAGTGATGATGGCATCCGCCTTCAATAGGTTCGCAATTAAATGGAGACAAGTTAGCTCAACTATTTATAAAGGCTACAGATGTAGAGAAAATGATAAGGAGGAGCAGGGAGGCAATGACCCTCCCCCAAGAAGTCCACATCCTTATCCTTAGTAGCTGTGAATAAAGTACCTTACATGGTAACAGGAAGTTTTCAGAGTTGATTAATTAAGGATGATAAGATATGGAGTTTTTCCTAGATCATCCAAGTATCAGGAGGTTCAGAATCAGAGACGCTGTGATGATGAAGAAGAGATCAGACAGGCCTGAAGATACCTCTGCTGGCTTGAAAACAAATGAGACCATGAGCCAAGCAATGAAGGTCACATCAGAAAGGCCCAGGGGATTTTCTTCTAGAATCTCCAGAAGGAGTGTAGGCTTACCAAACCCTGATGTTCTATTCATAAGACTCATTCCAAATTTCTGTCACCACCAAACTATAAGATAATAAATGTGCACTGCCATAAGCCTCTAAGTTCAGGACCATTTACTACAGCAGTAATAAAAAAGTTCATACATCTGAGCTGTTGATTTGGATGTTAGGAAATGGGGGAAAGATTTTGAGAAGGATAGAAACCTGGTTAAATTTCAGGGTCCACAAAATTTGAAACCAATAGAAGCTAGTTTCTTCATCCTTGACTATGCAGTACCTCTTCTGTACTGAGGACTGAGTATGTCTTAAAGAGGTACAAAACATATTTGACAAGTGTATCAAGATATGGCAAAATGCATGCATGAAAGGAAGAGAGTGGTTGAGAGCTGAGACCTGGAGTACACCTATTCCCCAAGGCAAGCAGGTGGTAGAGGGTTGTGTGGCAGGCTGTCACAGAAAAGGGCTCCACAGGCCTCCTCATTATTAGCATAAACTCACCCAAACTACTAAATACACCATAAGATTCTCCACAAGTTGAGCAATTATGATTTTAATTCAGAAAAATATCATGATTTTCATCTTCTAATCCATGTAGCCAGTTTTGAATGTTTTACTTATTCAGCCATCTGTCAACTAGGTATGCATCTTTCAAAACTTGGGAGATTAATAATAATTACTTAGCTTTGCCTTGAATCATCAATATTAACTTTTACTGTCAATAGCCTAACAATAGAAACACGTACGGTACTGTGTCATTCTTTGATGCAGCATGCCATTTCCTTAACTCCATGCTTAAAGATCACTTAAAGTATATATTTAAATTAATAGATAACATTATATTTTAAGTCAAATGAATTCAGAGTTAAAATTATTTTTTACAATTTATAATAAAAAGTAAAACAAATATTTTCCAAACATTTCAAATAATTAGCTGGGCATGTTGGTGCATGCCTTTAATCCCAGCACTCAGGGAGTAGAGGCAGGTGGATCTCTGTGCATTCAAGGTCAACTTGGTCTACATAGTGAGTTTCAGGGAACCTGGGACCACAAGGTGGCCCTGTCTAAAACAAACAAACAAACAAACAAAAAAGTACTTTAGTACTTTTTGTTTAATTTGGAAGACTTAGTTATTTAAATAATATACAATATAAAACAAGAAGTTGGGGCTGGAGAGACGGCTCAGGGGTTAAGAGCACTGACTGCTCTTGCAGAGGACCCGGGTTCGATTCTCAGCACCCACATAGTGGCTACGAACCGTCCTTAACTCCAGTTCCAGGGGAATCCGAAGCCCTCTTCTGACCTCCTCGGCACTGCATGACATGGGTGCACACACATACATACAAGCAATACACTCGTACACATAAAATAAAAATAATAAATAAAATATCTTAAAAAAAGAAGTTGATCCATTTGCATCAAATAAAAGCTATAATGATAAATACTGTCACTATTTCTGCTCTTTTCGACTAAATAAGCATCAGATTAAAACAGAGGCATGGAAGTTTTTCAAATTTAATTCTTTTGTCACCTAGTTGTAGTACCTTCACTCTAGTTCATCATTTTCTTCTGTGCTTTTCATTTTCTCTATGTTAAGATAAAGTTAAATTAACACATGTGTTTGCAGGAGAAGGATATACTTCCAGAGAACACATGTTGACCAGGACAATTTAATGAGCACCCATCATCAAAATATTGTTGCAGTTACCTGTCTTTTTCCCTAGGAAAGCATGAACCTGTAATTACTTTAAATTGTTTGAGGTGAAAATCCAAATTATAGTCACAGAAATGATGTCTGGGGGAAATGCTATATTAAGACAATATTACTATAACCTTCAATATATAGGTAAAATACTTAATTTAAGTAAATAAAAACAAGGAGAAAGAAAAGGAGAAAGATGAAAACAGGAGGAACAGGGAGAATGGAAAGAGATGGGGGAGAAGGTAGAGATGGAGGGGGAGATGAGGTGGAGGGGGATGAAGGGGTGGAGGGGGAGAAAGGAGATTAGAAGGGGAAGAGGTGAGAGTTTGGAAAGGAGCAGCAGGCTAGAAAAAGAAAAGAGAAAACGAGGAAGAAGGAAGAGATATGGGGAAGAGAAGGAAGCGGAAATGTGAAGCAAGGCAGGGAGACAGAGAGGAAAGTAGAGGCAGAGTGAAAGCAGACAGGAAGAGGAGGGGATGACAGGAGAAAGTCAGTACGAGGAAGAGGAGACGATGAAGAGCATAAATGACAGAGGACAGCAGAGAGGGAAAAGCGGTGATTCTTTATCTTCTAGTCTAGATTCAAGTCAGGGCACACAGACCGCTTTTTTCTTAAAGTGCACTCACCATTGCAGTTGCCATTAGACAGGGAGTTGAGAAGGGTATTCTGCTCACACTGAAATAAAAATGTGTAGAATAAAAATGTTATGAAAATTATTGCTGCATATGAAAAAAGCTCACATTCCTTTCTCCATAATGAATAACAACAATTAGTCTTCAGTGAATATTTCCCATTTGTCTTGTTTTAGATGTTGTGTATGATGAACTAAGAAATGATGAAATGATATTGGATTCTAGGTATACATTAGTCAGGAGATAGTCTGGTTTTTGAGATAGGTGTCTTCTTTAGAACATTTCCCACAAGACTGAATTTGCTTTGATCTAGGGTCAGATATTAAGTAGCTACATGCATTTTTCATGGGTATTTCTAATCAAAAATTGAGCAGATGAGGGAGAGCCACTGATCAGGTATTTCGTATTTTACAACTGTTAGCTTCTTGAAAATGCCTGGGGAACATTTCTGATTTGACTGATGTTGAAGAGTGAGAACAGACATGATTCTGTTCCAGATAGCTGAACTTCTCTAACAATGCCTTTGACACTGCATCCATTTCTCAAACAGCATACTATTATTTCTATTAATGATGATCATAGCAGTGGATTTTTTCAGTCTTTATTCCAAAGATTTGACATTAATCATTGAAACCTCAGAACCATCTGAAGAAGTTATTCATCTTATTTTCCCTATGAAAGAGTCAAAGATAATGGAAGTTAAATGCAACTTGAACAAAATCACAAAGTTAGGAACAGCTTGGGCTATAATCAAAACATATGCCTTTCCAGCTCCAACTTTCACGCTCTCAAACACTGCTTTATACTGCTTCGCTAAAGCAGTCATCTTCAAGGCAGACTGGAGAATCAGCTTCCTCTACTTGATACCCATTTGTGCAGCTTTAATATTTCCATCAAGTTATTTTGAATTTCTAAGATTCAATCTTCCTTTCATGCAGCATTCAGGTAATTCCACATACATTATTTGCCTGGTAATGATTGTAATAGCTTAAATAAACTGGCCTATGAGAGACATTCAACAGGTGATATTTTTATTTCTTCTTATCTTCTCTGAAATCTCCTGTGCAGAAACTTCAAATAATTTACACAGATACCCTGCCTTCAGGAGGTGGATCATGATTTCCTACTCCTTATCATTAGGCTGCACCCAGTGACTCCTTTCCAGACAATAGTACAAAAAGGGTGAAAATAGAGTAATTGTAAAGTGGATCCTGGCCACTCTATCACTCAGTAGCTCAAGATTAAAATTACAATAATAAATCATGTTTTTATTCCATATCTTTGCTACGATACGGGATACAGTTTTCTTCCTCCAAGCCTATAGCCCTAGTCTTATAATATAGAAACACCAAAAACACTGCTAATACAAGAGCACTCTGTGAAATACACAGGCAGTCCTGCTCAAAACTTTCCAAGTCTTTAAAATCAGAAAGTTTGGGAAATTGTCATAGAGGAGCCTGAAGAAACATGATGGTCAAATGTAATGCCATACATTAGACAGAAACCTAGAGCAGCAAGAAAATTGGGCAAGATTAAGAGGATAGGAACAAAGTATGGACAGATTTGTTAACTCTGATGAGCATGCCACACCAGTGCAACACTTTAATAGCTCAAAGTAGTAGATAGAATCTATCCCATCCTACTACCTTTTCCACAAATCTCAAACTGTTCAAAAATAAAGTGTATTTTTATGTTCCAACAAAATGTCAGCTATCATCCCTTTACTTCATGCAAACTCCCTTCCAGCTCAAATGCAGTGTTACAGTGACTAATATTCCTAACCAGAAGAAAGAAATGAGAGGCAATGTGAGGCACACAGGCTCATTTGGGAAGCCACGGTCTACACTGCATTGCTGAGTTGTAGGTGAGACATTCTTCATGTCAGGCATGTCACTACATGTGATAAAACTCCGAAGTAAATATATATAAAGATAACCTTCTCGTGAGTTAATCAGGTTCTTTAAAACTGTACAAAATTTCCTCAATACTTCTTTGCATGGTGGTTGTGAATTTATATCTCTCCACCAAAAACTATTATAGCTGCAAACTGCCATGTAGTATAATGAAGTCTGTGAAGTTGAAATACACTTAGTATAAATATGAACAACTAAATATAACTCCCCCACTTTGACAAGAGAGCAAGTTTCCAATCCAAAGCCACCAGTGGCGATTTTAAATATCCCCTCAAAAGTGAAAGCCTGATTTTCAGTGTGAATAACCCCTCATAAACCTACTCATACACCCCAGCAACCCTTCAGCCATCTCTGTAAGTAAGCTCAGTAAATTCATTGGTTCCCCAGGAAAACTTTAATCAAACATTGGATTGACGCTAGATCCTTGAAAGGGGATAAGCATTGCTTAGTATCCCCAGAAAAGAATTCTCACAACAGATGGAAAATTTATTTGTTAATGTTATTATGTCTCATAATTATTAAAAAAGAAATGAGAATGTAAAAGATATTAAAAGAGTATGGGAATGGAGATATTTTCCAAAATAGAAAAAATGGGAAAGCCTAAGGAAGAGATGAAGGTCTGTGTAAGCTTGCTATGATATATAAAGGATGAGACAAAAATCATATAATCTTAAAATTTCTAAGGTCATAGCTTAGTCTAGTTTAAGGAACAAAATATATGTCTAATCAAGGATTATCTGAGAATGTTTGGTTTTTTCCCAGGCTTTACCTATAATAGCACATGGCAATTATGGGAAAGCCTAAGGAAGAGATGAAGGTCTGTGTAAGCTTGCTATGATATATAAAGGATGAGACAAAAATCATATAATCTTAAAATTTCTAAGGTCATAGCTTAGTCTAGTTTAAGGAACAAAATATATGTCTAATCAAGGGTTATCTGAGAATGTTTGGTTTTTGCCCAGGCTTTACCTATAATAGCACATGGCAATTAAAAATACTAGACTAGTGGAACTAACCTTCTTAGATGTTTAACAGCCATACTTTGAGGCCTATGCTTATCTGGTCAGAAGGATGTAAAAGACAGGTTTTGCTCTTTGCCCTTCAAGGTAGACTAAGTTCCAGAGGACTATGGAGCATCTCTTAAAATGTCCTATAACTGTGGTGAGTAACCTGTCCTCTTGTTCAGGGAGGACATGGACACCCCACGAGATGGACTTGAACCAGTGTCCAGTCTACAAAGAGGAGGGTCAACATCATTTCCTCCATGCTTCCAAGTGAAGCCAACAGTGGTCGAGCAGGACCTTTGACTTATCTTCACAAAGATGGAACTGGTAAAAGAAAGGAGTCAGGGGCTCCTCCCAAGCCCATGTGACCCCTGAGGAACAGATCCTCCAACAACTTGAAGTGTAAAAATAAATTGGTTTATTTGGACCAACTATATGGTCTTAAACACCCAAAAGGAAAGTATAACCAAAGATTAAAGTGAACAATATATTTCTTTAAGAGTTCAAGGGATTATATTACTCAGACATTAGGCTTAAGTCCATATAAGCTGTTATTTAAACAATTATTTCTCGTTGATGATTTTATTTCTAAGCAGAAAGTGCTGTTCCGATGTAAGACTTCAAATCTTGGTCTGCAATACTATAATGTCCACCAGTAGCTAAGGGAGACAATCCACTATTGTTCTAAATGATGGCTAAATTTGTTTTCCCCACCTATCTGGAAGCCTTTGAGAGGGAACTGACACTGATTCTAGCCCTCCAACAGCTATCAAAGTGCCTGAAAACAAATCCTGGGTATATCACTCTAGAGTTCAGCCTTGGCAGACAAAATAGAAATGAGGAGGAAACCAATAGAGGGATGCTTTTGGAAGCTCATGTCAAGAAATCCTAATGGACTCTGATACGACTATTTGAAATTTGCCTTGTTGAGACTTTTTTCTGGTTCCCCATCTAGAACTTGTAATGCTAACTACTCTTGCCTTTACTTCTTCTTCACAGCCTCTATTCACCACTCAAAGCCTTTCTTTTCTCTCTACAGATAAGAGTTATGCAATTTGGGAGTCTTTTAGATAGACTCACTAAAGGGGTACCCCAATTGTCTCAGCCTGCGTTCTTGTACAGTATGGAAGAAGCCAGAGAGATCTGCGCCCCAATTCCCTATCGGCAATTTGGGTAACCTCTTCAAAGGATGGTGTGATAAGAATAGGAGGTAGGAATTGGCTAGGCAGTTAGGGTAAAAAAGTCCACAAAGAAAAGTAGCCAGTTTCTTGGCTAAGAGTCAAAATGTCTTTGTGTGTGATAAGAATAGGGGGTAGGAATTGGCTAGGCAGTTAGGGTAAAAGAGACCCCAAGGAAAGTAGCCAGTTTCTTGGCTAAAAGTCAAAATGCCCTTGGCTACTTAGCAGTGTAGTATGTTCCAAAGACCAAAAATATCAAAAGTATTTGGGAGCTCTTAATTAATCTCTAAAAGGATTTTAAGGTCACTCTTCAGAGGGGGAATGTTTGAGGAGCAAAAACCCCCATTTAAAAAGAAAGGAAGGGCTAGAGAGATTGCTCAGTGGTTAAGAACACTGGCTGTTCTTGCAAAAGACCTGGGTTCGAATCACAGCACCCACACGGCAGCTAATAACTGTCTGTAACTCCAGTCCAAGGGGATCCAACAGCCTCTTCTGTCCTTCACCAGCATGGCACGAACGGGTGCACTTACCTACATGCAGGCAATACATGCATATGCATAAAATAAAAATAATAAAAAATGAAAAGGAAGGAAGGAAGGAAAGAAGTAAGGAAAGAAGGAAGGAAGGAAAGAAGGAAGGAAGGACATGAAGTTGTCAGAAAAAATTATGGGGAGATATGGAAGGGGTTGGGGGGGGAGGGAGTCAGTGTAGATTTGATCAAAACACCTTATATGCATGTATGAAATCCTCAGTAAAGTTTTTTTTGAAGTTAGAAAAAAAGTGAAAGGCTAAGAACAGATACATAGAGCTGGCATCATGTGCTTATTATCTGGAGGGTCCCAAATGGTTCCATGCTTAGAAGGGTTTAATTATAACTTTGCTGTTATCATTTTTCAAATGTTAACAATTGTAGAAGAAGAAATCTCACACCCTCATTTTGCACTAGGCCTCAAAAAGTTATGTGTTTGGGCCTACATTGATGGCCTTTAAATATGGATCAGGGTGATTGATGACTATAGGTAAAAGCATGAGACAGTGGGACACAAGAATGTCCTTCAGCACAGCTTCTGAGACCAGAAACACAAGACCTAAGATCTCCCATGCATCTGAATGACTGACAGACACATGCTCAAGGATGTGAGAGAAAGAAGAGATCTATAGCAGTCGAGAACAGCCTCAGGAGCAAGAAAGTCCACCAAACTAATAACATTAGCTAAGACTGCACAGTACTGGTCAGGCCAAGCACTATTCTAAGCGTTTTGCTTTCTTTTTTCTTTTTTGGTTTGTTTGGATTTTGGTCTTTTTGAAACAGGGTCTCTCTGTAGCCCCAGCTGGCCTGGAACTTGCCAGAGATCTCCCTGCTGTACTGGGATTAAAGGCCCATGCCACCAATCTGGCCTGTTTGTGTATTTTAACTCACTGAATCATCTTTACTACAGATGAGGACAATGAAGCACGAGTGATTCAGTGGTTTAAGTTCCCACAACTGGTAAGTGCCCAAACCAGACAGCTTGGTTCTGATGCTGACTCTGGACAGTTTAGAGGGCTTGAGGACTCAACAGAAAATTGTTCACTAACATTAAAATATTCTAGTAGACATTTGATTCAGCAGCTATAAGCATTGAGATTTCTTCTGCATATAAAGAAAGCTGAATATTAGTGAGGCATGATGATGACAGGTATCATTCTAGCACTTAGGAGGCGAGGGCAGGGAGATTACATGGCCGCATAGCAAGAACCTGTCTCAAAATTTTAAAAAATGAGGGAAAGGAAAACAAGTGTGGGAGGGAGAGAAGTAGAGAAGATTTCTAAAATAATGTTAATTAGTGATAGCACATATTACTGATAAATGTTATAATAGTGATAGCAATCATTGATGCTTCTCCGAATTTACCAATCATGCTCCATATTCTGAAGAGCTAGATATAATGAATTTATTTTAACATCTTGGTGAACATATTTTTTGAAATAAGCAATGTGTCTTATTTCTTCCAGGGTATAGTATAAATTAATAAAGACACAATATTGGGTTTTTCTGAGGGAATAGGTTTATAAACACTTTTATGATTCATTACTGTTTACCTGTGACTATTTTTGTTTTGTTTTGTTTTGGTCTTTTTGAGACAGGATCTTCCTGTAGCCCCAGCTGTCCTGGAACTCACTATGTAGACCAGGCTAGCCTTGAACTCACAGAGATACGCCTGCCTCTGCCTTCCGAATGCTGGGATTAAAGGCATGCGCCACCACGCCAAGCGAACCTGGAACAATTTTTAGTGGCACAAAGTTACCTATAGTAAAATACTCTCATCATAAACTCAGGGTTCCTACCTTGCTGATATCATCCAGTGGCTGGTTGCTGTCATTTTCCTTTAGGATTATTTTCATTAGATCAGTATTAAATTTCTTTGCATTCAGGAAAACAAGTGGGTTGTTTATTGAGACGATTTTTACCTGCTGCAGGATTTCCTTTTAGAGAAGAATAAAAGGACAGATTGAGAACTCTGAGTTACTAAACCCAATGAATGTAAACCTCACAAGTCAGCTTGTCACTCAGTCATGGATCCAATCGCTTAACATCTCTGTTATAGAAATTTCTTTGGAGGCTTTAATGAAACACCATACATCTAAGGAAAAATATATACTTCTACACTAAGAAAACTAGTAACTTCAAGACAACTCCACAGCTTTTCAGAAATTGACCCTTATTTCTGTTAACCAGGTTCTGGGGTGATAATAACTTAGAATACCCATCTTTCCCCCAAAGTACCTCTTTCATTCACCAGTTAAAATTTTACTCAAGCAGTTTTTTTTTTTAACAGTGCTGAGGGCCAAGAGCCTCTAACATACTAGACAAGTGTTTTGCCACTGAGCTACATCTCAGGTGCCCATCAGTATTTTGAAACAACTGAAAATGTGTCCCAAAATATCAATTATCATCCCTTTACCTCACACTGATGTAAGCTTCCTTCTGGATGAAAAAAAAAAAAAAAAAAACTTTACAAACGACTGATAGTCCTAACTGGAAGAAAGAGACTGGAACACAGTAGCACAGGTTCACTTTAGGCAGCCCTGGTTACCCCGCATTGCCAGGTTGAAGGTGAGACATGCAGAAAGAGAGGAAAATGTGTTGTGACACCAAAGGCATCTGCTGCACATTCGCTCAGATATGACTGGCAGCACTTGGTGTTTGACAAATAAAACTGTCTTCTCTGTGACTTTGTGACAGGTATCTGATGGAGAGGATGGTCAGCTCTGTGAAATGGTTACTCCTTCAGGCTTTATAGCGTTCTCATAGAGGAGGAGATGAAGAAAACAGTCATTCATGGAGGCAGAGGAGAGAACAAATTAGGTAAATTAATGAGGATAAGCCACTGGACCTCGGTGTTTCCTCATTTTTTAAAAACAAATGTTTTAAAATAGCTGTATGTCAGAGTGCATAGGGTTCGGTGGGGGAGTAAGGAGGAGACATGGATGGGGGAGGGGTCTGGATTTGAGTGGGCAATGTATGACATTTAAAGAGCCAAATAAAAATTTTTTAAATTAAAAAACAACAAAAATAGCTATCACAAAGTTTCAAAAGCTGTGACAAGCAACTCTCGAAAGTGAAGGGATTTACAACAAACAACTCCAGAAAATAGAAACAATTAACCTGCTAAACCAACTTTTAATCAAGAGAAAACCTCTTAGAAAATGAAAATAAAACATTAATTTTTAAGCTTATAGTCATCACATATGACTGCTCTCGTAGTTATAAGTTAATATGAAAAGGTGTTTGTTAAAGAATCAAGATTCGTTCTAGACAGTAAAGTCTCAATGGAATTGAGTTTGCTGAAGAAGAGACACCCCAAGTTAACAATGGGTGTTGTGCATAATAAAGGGATGGGCACTGCATGATGGAAGAGGGAAGAGCATCCTTTCACGTTATATAAAAACTTCATCCAACAGTTCACATGCAAATTATCTTCAATCTTAGTTATTCTCCCTCTTAATTTGGATGGAGAATATTAACTACTGGACTGCAACTCTCAAAGGAAATTAGGATTTTCATGAGCTACAGTTATTACTTGGGTAGGTAGCAGAAAAAATAATCAAGGTTTAAGGATGGGCAAAATTTCTTGCATTTTTATCTTTCCTACAAATTCCCTGAAAGTTATGTTTAGACCAAGAAGTCAAGGATTACACAGTTTGCTTACTAGTGATTTTTTAGGTGGAAATCTAGCCAACCCAAAGTTCAATTCTGTCTCAAGGATATTAGTATGAGATGGATATACCAAGACCGCTGGGGTCTCTAGATTTAGGTTGGGACTTCACCACACTAAATTCTCATGGAAAAATTTAAGGAAAGAAAAGCAAGGCTGACTTGGCTGAGAACTTAAGCCTAGAACACCCTCAAAGGTTCTGAAGTGGGAACAAAAGGACTCCTGATGTTATTTCCTCATTCCAGGCTACTTCGAAAGATCCTGACACTAGTCTTTCTGGAGGATCAGTTCTCCTGTGTTCTGAGGGCAGTCACAAGGTACTGAAGCAAATTAACGTGAAAATAAAGGAGAAAAACAGCCACACATTTACTAAGCTGGTCTGAAGTGAAGACAACTCATAAAAATGGGCAGAACACGGGGGGGGGGTGGCCCACACCTTTTGCCGGGCACTGGGGAGGTAGAGGCAGGCAGATCTCTGTGAGATTGAGGCCAGCCTGGTCTACATAATGAGTTCCAGGACAGCAGGGGAGTACAGGGAGACCCTGTCTCAAAAAGATTTAAAAGGGGGCACAGAAATAATTCAGATGCCCATTTTTTGTTTTGTGGCTGTTGTCACTCACTCTTTCTTCCACTTTGATCTGTTCTGGTCATGCCTTAACACAGTAAACTAGAACTGTCCACTGGAGTCTGATGGGCTTACAAAGGGGTACGCCACTGAAGACAAAGACATCCTCCGTTAAACTCAGTGGGTCACAAAGCAAAATAGATATGAATGTGAGAACGAGACTTGCAGTAACAGGGAATGAGGGAGTCATGGAGGCAGGAGGGAGATAAGAAAGGATGGGGTGAAAGAAATCGTGAGTGGAATTATCAAAGAACAAATTTAATTTAAGAAATAAAAGATAATTCAAACACTATCACATGGCACCCCTAAGCATGAGCAGTGCATGATAGTTTATGTGTGTTGGTTTTCTTTAGAAGTTGTCCACTGCACAAAATTCTACTCCTTTGAGCATTTGAGAATCATTGGATTTAATGACTCTCTAACAAAGATTCAGTCCCATTGATTATATTTTTATTCTTTGAGAATTTCATACATGCCTTAAATGTATTGATCATAATCCTCCTCCAACATTGACTTAGTTTTCTTAAAAAGGAATACATGAATCATTTCTTTCTTCCTTTCTCTAGTCTTTCTTGATCATTTAACTAAGAAAAGGTTATCAATTTTGTTTTTTATGCAATTTAGTAGTAAAAAAAGTTTTCAAGCACCTGAACTAACCTAAGTCACAAGTCAACTGTGAACTTAATTCTATGAGCCATGGTATGATTTAATCTGAATCTGAAATTCAAAGAGATTTTCTATTTTCTCTGCCAATTTGTTGCTTGCCCACTGCCACGTGTCTGACATTCACATATAAAACACTGGAAACCATAGTAATTAAAAGTAAAATGCCCTAATTTATCTGATTTTTCTAATACTTCAAAACTGTCATACCCACAAAGATTGTTAATAATTGCACAAAGAAAAAAGGAAGTTTAACTTACATCATCCATTTCTGTCTTCCTCTTAAACTCCATTTCTTTCATGTTTTTTATATTTAAAGTCTTTGCTCTAAATTTAAGGCAGATGAAAAATACAAGTCATTTCCTGATCATTATATTAGCAATGAAAATCCAAAGGGGATAAATTGTTTTATCTTAACAACTATAAATTATATGGTTTAGATTCCACACTTGATTTGTCTATGTGATATTAGTAAATATATGTTTTTCTGGGATGCTAAGGAATAAAAAAGAACAATAGAGGTATCTAAGAGGATATTAATAAACACAGTTTATCTTAAGCCCCAAGAGCCCCATGCCTCCAAGCTGTAAGAGTTAGACTGATAAAGAAATATAAACAGAGCAAGAGTTAAGGAGCATATTGTATTTGATAAAATTTTGTTTTAAGGAGTGGGAAGAAAGGAAGTCAATGTCAAAAATGGACAAGATAACAATCTGTATGTTGGGGCTCCTTAAATATGGAATAGAAACTGATGAAAGTTTATATATTTATGCTATTCTAGTTTTTAGTTTTTTAGTTGTAATTTCAGAATATGCTACTTCACAGATAATTTCAAGAGAAATATAGGAATTGAATATAAGAATTATCAGATGAAAACTGGGAGCACAGGAAAGGAATTCATGAATGTTCAAAATAAGGGAAGATGTTCAGTTAAAAGAGAAAATAATGGAGTGTTCATCAACAACTTATCTGGCTTCTGAGAAATAAAAATTTTTGATTATTTAATTTTTCTAAATGATGATTGTTGATATATGGTTTATGTCTTATTTTATATTACATCACTGAATTTGATTTCTCTGATATAGTATATGGCTGAGGTATTTATGTATTTTAATATATTTTGTGAATTTGCTATGGTTTGGATTTTAAATGGCCCTCAAATGCCAATGTATTGAAAGCTTGGTTGCCAGTTTGTTATGCTGGTAGGAGGTGATAGAACTTTTAGAGTTAAGGGCTAACAGAAGGACATTGGATCACTGGAAGCTGGAAACATGTCCTTGAAGGATATATTGGGATCACAACCCCTTTCTCTCTCTGGTTCCCAGTCACCTGGAAGTAAGCAGATTTCCTCTGCCATGAATGCACTGGGGCCACTACAGGCAACCTCTAAAATCACCAGGCAGAATAAAAATGTCTTCCTTTAACTGGATTTATCCCAGAGATTTGGTATGATGTTGATGTTTTTCTTCATTATTTTAGATCATATGCAGATAAAACATTTTGTTGCCTATTTGTCTCTATTTATCTGATTATAGAACTTCATGTTGTATAGAAATAAAAGTGACTATAGCACCATGCACATTTCCTGCTCAGTAAGAATAAACAGAGTAAATAGACCCTTACCTTGGGAAGCGCGCTATCACTATAACTATGGTGCAGACAACACCAAACAATAGTCCCACATTGGCAGCAAAGCATATTGTAAATATATAAGTACTGATCCATATGCCCTGAAAGAGATAATGGAAATAGAAGATGTGGCTTCTTCTATATTCTCATATTTCTCATGATTGCTAAAATCCTCATGATCATATTCAGCAGCATTACAGTGATCAAACTCTTTATATATATATATAATAGTAGTGTGAGCATGCCATGGTACACATATGGAAGTCCGAGGAAAACTTGTAAAAATCAGTTTATTCCTTCTACCAACTGGCTTCTAGGGATCAAACTCAGGTCTTCAGGTTTGACAGAGAATTCCTTTACCTGCTTAACCATCTTGACAGCACAAGAATGTATTATTTAAAAAGTCATGAGTACAAGCCCAGAAAGACAGAAAAACATCCTAGCGCCATCGGATTCTCAGCAGTAGAAACAAGAAGGTGTCAATGTTTTAGTTGTAGGCATTGCCAACCCTTAATTCAATTCCCAATAAGCACTATATTTAAGATGCATAGTTGATATTAATATTGTCAAAAATATTTCATAAGTCCATACTCTTTTATATTGCAAGCAACTGTTTGCAGATTTTTGTCACTCAAAACTATTCTACTTTTAAGGATCACTATAAAAATTACTGATGCAATTTGTTACTATATAAGGTTCTTAAAGCTTAGTGTTAAAATAACTGAATTACACAACACTGCCAATGTTACTCTTAGATACACTATTACAGAGATTATTATAATTTTACTTACCAAGGGCCACCTACTGTAAAAGTTTAAAAAGCAAAGATAACTTCATTCTTAGGAGGATTTCAAAAACTTTCAAGAAACTCCAAATTATCTTTTAATTGGAATTCCAAGTTTAATGTAGTTTTGCCCACCAGTTGAAATTATAATTGCAACATGATTTATGTAGTATGTATGACTGGCATTTCTAAACTCGGTGATGAAAAAGATCTTTAAAAAATAATTTATAGCCTGGCATGGTGGTGTCCACTTTTAAGTCCAGCACTCGGGAGGCAGAGGCAGGCGAATCTCTGTGAGTTAAAGGCCAGCCTGGCCTACATAGTAAGTTCCATCCCAGCTGGGTCTACAGGGAGATCTTGTCTCAAAAAGACCAAAAAAAATTATTTATGTAATCTGGAAACTTACATTTATATGAAATCCTGTATTTATCAGATACTAGACTAATTTCCAAGCTGTTTTTTTCCTAAATAACCTACATCACTCTGCCTAAGCATACAACTGCAACTTGTTCTCTTTCTGCTTCAGTGTTTTAAATGATCTCAAAAAAACATTCCATTCACAAGTGCATGGGGAAGAAAATAACATTAAAAAATTTATAATCTGAGACACAGCATAAAATCTTGGGGGGATGGTGTATAGGAATTATTTTTTTCAGACAAGTTTGAAATAAACATTTCTAAAAGGCATTTTAAAAAACTTGAACTGCTTTTCCTTATTTATCTACACCAAGCTCATTTGAAATAACAAAATATTTTTTAAAACTTAGCCCTGGGAGGCAAGTAGAGAAAATTTTATCTGTAAAATTGCTTTTTTATGTAAAAGACACATTTTGTAGTAAACAGCAAAAATATTATTTAAATGACTGTTTTAAGAACTAGTTCCTTTTAATGGCATTCCAGGTCATGATTTGTAAGATCATCCTAGTCTGTCATCTCATACACTGGGACCGAGTTGTTTCTCCTGGATTCAGATAAACTGGAGTCATTTTTGCCTCTTTATATTCAGTGTGTTTTTTTGTACTGCTCTATTACACGATATTCAACCATAAACAAAATAGGGCTGCTAGTGTTTGATCATGACTTCAGCTTCCCATTATGACTCTGAGCCTTGCTCATCCTCAGGGGCTAGCTGAGCCTGCCTGGGTGTGGAAGAATAATGCCTGAGTCCCACCCCTGAACATCTCCATGATTCCAGGGTGGCTTAGGAAATTCAAAATCTTGCCACTGAAAAAACCACAGAGCCTGGAGGCCAGAATTCATTAGAGCAACCAAAAATTTCATTACCATCTGGCTCTATTTTTAAAGTATAGCTTTGCACCCACAACATCATCTATTATAACTCAGGCTCTACAAATGCTTAGTTATTTCCTGGGGTTTCTTTATAGCTTTGAAAAATATCAAATGGAAATTAACAACAGATTAGTAAATAATTCCTTAGTTAGAGTAAGTTCTAACAGTGTTCTGTTACAATTCCTGTTAAAGGCCCAACTATGTTACTTATCACAGATATCAGGAATTGGTTAACTCTTTACCCTTACACTCTTTTTGAAAAAAGTTTGATAGTCATAACGCCCAGACACAAGTTAACGTCAAGGTAGACCTTAAGTACAGAAGACATTAATTCTTGCTCCATATAGATGAAGCATTGGTAGAAAACAGTTTGGCAGCTACTGAATCACCTCACCTTTCCCTGGCCTATCTGCTTGGGTGATGGAGCCATAGAGATCTATTTGTATAGATCTATTTAACTTCGCCAGCTCAGCTCTGAACCTGTGAATAAAACCTCCATTTAGAGCCTTATTTCCTCATTATTTTTCACAGGTTTTTGGCACACAGCTCAAAATAGAGTCAATCTGTAACTTAAAAAAAATTGAAGAATAGGAGACTTCCATTTTTAAAAATTTAATAATGTTTTTTTCCAAATCACATTCTTACAATTTATCAGTTTCATTTCACCTATGTAATAGTAATGGATAACAAAAAATAATAAGATATAAAATTGCTTTATGTAAGTTAAAGTGCCTCTCAGTGATATACATTGTATATCATTTTTGAACAAATTGCTTTAGACTTCTTGTTCCAAAACAGAAATTATTCCTGGTGACCCTAACTCCAGCATTCCATATCTGACATTCCAGTCCTCAGGCCCATTTGAAGTCTACAGGTCCATGTACCCACACAGAACTGAGAATCCTACAGGACCCCTGATTTATGAGCTCTAGCATTCAAAGAAACTACACACAGGAAAAAAAACAAAAATACTTGGGAAAATATATAGATTATGCAAAACAAAATCGTATCAATAAATATATAGTTCATTAAGACGAGAGAAGAACACAATATTCAAGTACATGTTAGGAGAAAATTTTTGTAAATGATTCTTAATCCTGAGATCAAAAAGGTCTCTGAGACTCATAGAATTTTATATTGTATCCTAAACCACAGAAATAGTCAAAACAATGTTATTAAACTGTGTGGGCAGGCAGAATGATGTTCATTGTGCATTCATTTACAGAAGAAAATGCATGTAAAATTTAAAAAGTCATGTTGACTAATGACTTCTGTACTTTATCATTCAATGTTCAGAAATAAACCCAAGATTAAAAGATTTTGAGGGAAAGCATTTTAGCCAGCTTAAAACTTCCTTGTATTATGTAAAAAGGATCAATATTTTCCAAATGAAATGTCTCAGGGGCTATCAATGGCATAAGCACTTCTTAGAAAACTACTGGATGATGACATACAAAACATAAAGAGTTGCATGACCCATGAACAAAACCCTGTATCTTTTGAAATATTTTGCTTATTATTTTTATTTTACATGTATGAGTGTATTGCCTGCATGTAAATGCATCCATGTTGTGCAATGCCCATGGAGGTCCAAAGAGGGCAACAAATCCCCTGGAACTGGAGTTATGGATGGTTGTTAGCCACCCTGTGGGTACTGGGATTCAAACCCTGGTCCTCTGCAAGAGCAGTCAGTGCTCTTAACCACTGAGCCATCTCTCCAGCCCCAACCTTGTAGCTTTTCAAAGACTAAGAGTAAGTTAGTGTTCCTGTGTCTTCTCCCTGCACAGCTGATAAGTGTCTAGAATGTCAAGTCTTTATTCACCTTTACATTTCTCAAACATTCAATATTGTACTATGGTTAAGAGTCTTGGGAGGGAATGTTATAAAAGTAGGCAACAGCAATAATGCCCTCCAAAGTTTCATAAAGCAAAGGATCATGGGAGGAAACACATAGATCATGACATCTCACTATGATGAATGCCACACAGAGCTGAAGAGGGGGTATTCATGGGATGATTTTATCCAGATAGGTTTTTCTAGACTGCAAGTTTGCTCTATATTTGTTTGTCAAAATCACACTTTCTTATTACTTAATATAATAAAATCCATTTCCAATAATAGTATATTAACCTAATCCTCCCCACAGTGTAATTGATTTAAAAGACACATTGTAAGACTTTTTGTATTTAGAAGTAATGTGGTCACCATTAAGAGGTCTACCATATATTCATGTGCCATACATTTAATGAGGATTTTCATACACACTAAACATCAACATATTTTTCTTAGTGTATACTTACTTCTTTGATGAACTCTACTTTCAAAATCAACTCAAAATACAAATTGAGCATCCTCAGCCCACAAAAAGTAGCTAGTATATCTTTGAAAGTTTTCAAACTACATACTCATCAACTATTGCCAAAATTCTATGTTCATGCTTTCATTCAAATTCTGAAAACAATAGATGGAAGTTTGTAAAATAACATGTCTCAAATGGTTTCATCTATGTTTTGTGTATGAAAGTATACAGAGTATTTGGTAACAAGTGCTTAAGCTAAAGAGGCAATGTTTGATCAAATTTCTACTTACCCAATCAATTTTATCCACATTCCAATATTTTTTTAAATCTCGGAACTGTATTAACATTCCCTTCAGTCCCACAACAATAATGCTTGCAAGGACACACTACAAATAAAAAATAAGTTGATGGAAAAACTGAGCAAAGACTTTGATCCGAATTTAAAAGGACCAAGTTATTGTTAGTTGTTTTTAAAATAAATTCTAGAGAAAAGCTGTAGTCAGTTACAGTAAAGTAATATTTGTTTAAAATTAACTTGTTATTGTACTTTAGGAATATCACATCAATTTTAGGAAATCATGGGGCAAAACTGATGCAATTATAAAAACACAGAGAAGAAAAAAGAGAATTGTTATAAGGGTGAATATCATAAGACCAAAGATCTTTTTAATTATTGCCACTGTCATTTGTTTGAAATGTGTTTGCTGTGAAAATTATACATTTATCTCATATACTCTTAAAAGTGCCTTAACATCATTTTTTTTGCTTTCACCTAAAGATATTAATAACTCTTGAAAAATGAGCTTGAATATTAAAACTCCATCTTATGGAAATGATTTTCTCTCACTACAATAATTAAGAATTTGCACAACAAAGGCCTGAGACAAGCTTTCTTAAGACTGGGGTGGTAACTTAGGTCACTTTGGAGCTTCTGGCTCATGGAAGGTGAGGTGAACCTCTCACACTGATGCTGAACCACACTACTAAAAATCATGTTAAGTGTGAAGATGGAGTTCGCTCCCTACTCCCTTTCCCTGGCCCACATTTTCTATACAATTTTGATAAAATTACTCAGAACTCTCCTTTTGTCACTGCTGAGGCTCCAACCCAGAGCTCCATGCATGTTTAGTTAGTGCTTCACCTTTGAGCTTCACCCCTAGTGCTTTGGACACAAGAGCATTTCTAACTTTGCTATGCTGCTTTCATATCGAAGCTGGAGAATTAGAGGACAGTCAAATATTCTCTACTTCCTCCCTCATCAAAAGTGGTATCTCTCCCAGATTAGTATTATTGAATTTATTCTCCCAAGACATTTTACATACAATTATTCCTATTAAAAATTAACAACTATACAGTAAAAAAAAGAAAAGGCACTACTGTACCATGGGCAGCCAGTACAGCAAAGGTACTATTGCATAGATGACTACAAGGACGATAATGCAAGATATTAGACAAGCCACCTGTAAAACACAAAGCAGACAAGAGGGAAAGCCTTGAGCTTTATTGTTATTTCAGAGCTATGGGTGGAGGGAATACTTTGTAGTCCATCTTGATTAGAAGAACCTGAATGTTGACATATTGTGAAATTGCACATACTGACATTATCTCGGTGGATTCGGTAATAAGACAAAAGAATTCTACACAAACAAATAGGACACCATTGACGTTTATCGCACGTCTCAGCAATGGCTTGTTGAACAGTGAAAGTGACACCTCAATTGAAAGCCCTTTTAGCCAATGCCTGTTTGGCCTTACTCCACTGATTATTTTATAGGGGACAGTGTGGATAATAACCAAAGCATATGTTGCTTTGTGTTTTTCTCTGCTGATGACACATTTTCACTGAAGCACTCCTTTCTTTGGAATTTTTCATTAGTAGGGCCCTGACAATGATGTGGTTTTATGGGATTATAGCAGCTATCTGTCAGTACCATAGACTCCATTTTACTAATCCTGAGAAGTCTTTAGTATCATGTTCTATCCCACTGAGCCTACTAACAAAGGTCAATTTAAACCACCTGAGTCCCTTAGCAACACTTTACGTGATAGAGAGCCTGATTTCACAGAAGCAAATGTCCCTGACTTCATAAAAAACATTTGGCCTAACTGCCTTTCGAATGGGGTGGGGAAAGGCCCTTCACAGGTCCTCGAAGATGTCTAAGACATCCTTATGAAGATGTCACAGGGAATCTTGATAAATTGAAATGACTTAAATTTAAAATAAGTATATAAACAATTTCAAGATATGGCAAGGACCACTGCTGTTCTCCAGCACTGGTGTTGCAATGGTACAGATACCTTGAAATCGATTTGATTTTTTAAAATGAGTTAAAGACACTTAACATAGATGTGGGAATGCTTAAGAAAAATAAAAATATATACCCATGTGAATATCTATATATTAACTATAACAGTTTTAACTGTTTAACTATAACAGCTTTGCTCACAAATCACTACAACATGTAAATAACTGAAATGTTCATCAATTGATGAATGAATAAATTGTGGCACACAACCCCCCGCCAAGTAATAAAAAGCAAACATTCACAATAAAAAGCAAACATGGGTGGTGAATTCAATTAGTAATGAGAGAAGCTAAACACAAAAGACTATGCAATTCTGCATCAATGACATTTTTTAAATGAAAAATTATAGGATACAAGGGGTGGAGGTAGGCACAGAGAACAGAGTATAAATGCACATGGGGAAATGCACATTTTGAAATGAGAGAAATATATTTTGAATATGCGGTTATACAAAAATATAGTTTTCTGCATAAAGCAAGCTATGTACCTAAAAAGTGGTGACTTTTACTATCGCTAAATAAACCCTTATAAACCTGATGTTAAAGAATTGGAAAAGGAATCTCTAACAGCTGCTGGCATGCAGATGTACATGCCCAGAGCCAGGCCAGCTTGGATACTCATCTTGAACTTGCCGGCTTTGAAAGATGTACATGTGGGAGGAGGGGTTGTGGAATGGAAGCAGTGGTGGTTAGAGCAGGCCTTTGCATGTTGCCAGAGGCCGAGAGAGTCTGTTCTTAAAGTTGTATTGAGTAGAACTCCTCATTAGCATATCTCAGATGCTGTAAAGAGGGGAATAGTTCTCACATGGAAAGTAAGCCAATAACTTAGTAAAGACTATCCACAAAAGAGATCATAGTAGACCAAGTTGTCCCTATATTGATCCTTTAGGAGTAATTGGAGATTTTAATGGTAAATAAATTTAAATAGTAATGATATTGGTCAATCCTCTAACTTGGAAAGTCTGGGCATTCATCTGCAAACCCCGAAATCCACTCAGTCAGCCCAGAGAATGATTAGTAAATGCATGTTTATGTGGCAGGAAAAATAATAACTGCTAAGTTTTATTTTAAGATAAAAGACAATGACATTTGTCCTCTCTGTGGGATGGTTTACTTCTACATTTACAAGGTTCTTACCCACAAAACAGTCTTGGGAACTGAAATGAACTGAAGTTGGACACAAAATTATTTGGGAGGACCCTAAGCACAGAGTCACAGGGTGACTGGCCAAGGTCATAGAGTGAGGGAGTTGGAATGTGTGAAGCAACAGGAAGCACGCATTGTACCCGGATCTGAATGGTTTTTGTGCTTTGATTTTATTTTCTTTCTCTTTACTTAGATTGTCTTTTCATTCAGTCCAACATGTATATAACTACTCAAAAGTATGTGACGATGTAGAAGACATTAATCTGATTGTTTTTTAAGTGAAATTTTATTTTAGCACCACCCTATATACTGGAAATTTTTCTACCTCCTGCTAAAAAGATGACTTGAGACTCTGAGTATTCAGCAAGAAGATGGGTCACTGCATAGCAACAGAACACAGGATTGAGACTAGGCAATTGAAGAGTATGTGCAAACTCCCCCTCTCTCTCTCACTCTCTTGCTCTTTCACTCTCTCTCCCATCTCTGTCTCTTTCTCTCTTTCTCTCATTTAAGCATTGACAATAAGCCCAATAATATGAATACACAGATATTGACAGATTTCTAAAGATTTGTTTACTGGACATTTTGAATTTCATTTTACTTATTAATAACTTGTACTTTTTTTTCCTCCTTGAATCAAAGAAGGGCATTATACTTCTAATTTTAAATATTGGCTCTGAGTTAAAGTGCAACATCTGATACCCAGCACTGGCAATGGAGAGTTTGTGAAGACAAAGTAGCTCACAGTTGTATTTGGCATTGTTCAAAGGAAGGAAATTCAACATGCTAGAGATTTTTTAAAATATATTTATTTAATAACCACATGATTAGAAGAAGCATTTCAGTACAGTAGCATTGACATCACAGTTGAATTAACACATTTACACAATATTGTAAAATTGAATGGGGTTTTAACCTTTAAAAAAGGTCTACATTTCATTTTAAAATATACTGTTTCATACAGAAAAACTCATTTTTAATGCAATTAACACTTAGATGTTTGCACATGCTTCTCTAATCTCTATATATCTGATTATTACTAGTCACAGTCGGTTACTTTCTGAGATCCTTTGTACCTGAGTATGGATATAAGGTCATCAGGTAGATGTCAATGGTAATATTTTTCACCTCTACTAATTAACATGAAAGCAAATTTTTGTGTTTTTTCCTCTAATATAACTCATTTTTTATTTATTGATTTTTGTGTGTGTATTTCATACAGAACATCCCAAACAATCTTACTCATCTT